CAGTTCAGTCAATTCCCAAATAGGCATGTTCAACTCCAGAAAAACAATGAAATTCCCATTTTCATTTCTCAATCATGCTCATTTCCAGTAAACCAATAAAATCCTCATTTTCATTCCAATCATGCTCAATTTCAGAAAAACAAGGAAATTCTCATGAAAATCATCCAAATTCTCATTTCAGTTTAATCACACTCAGATGCCGATAAAATCAATTTAAAATCAATTTAAACCTTGCCACCATCTCAAAAACAGTTTAAAACATACTTTAAAATCGAAGGGCTTTACCATAATTTACTTACCTCACTCGCACCGAACAAAAGGCTAACCCAAGTGCCACGGTGACAGAACGATCAAAACCTAATCACAATATTCCACCATTAATACCGCACAACCACAAATTCAAGTAAAATCATCATTAGCACTACCCCTAATCATATTGCTATTTCTATCAATCTCCACATAACCAGACATCTCCAAATTTATTCTTATATCACAAACTAAACCTTTAAATCCCCGTTAATCATTAGCCCTCGGTGTGTGAACAGTGCCTATGAACAGTGATCCCGTGAACAGTACCACGTGAACAGTGATCCGCAGTGAACAGTACTGCCACTTCCAAACATTAGCCAAAACACTAGCTAATTCACGAGATTTTCACACAAAACATCACAGCAATCAATTCAAGCTAAATTCTACTTAATCAAGCTTAAAACACACTTAAAATACTACCGGAATTCCTCCCCATTTTCGGCATAATTTGGACAACATAGGCAACCATCAATCAACTAGTTTTCAAGAATTAAAGAAGCCAGCCTACCAGAAATTTTCCAGCTGCAGAACCGGACATGGCAGGGGGAAGAGGCCGGCGGCAATTTGGGGGAAATTCTGCAGGAACTCACGGGATTTACCCAAAATTAAAGGAACCCAACTTAATCAAAGCTAAAAGGATGAAATCATGGCTGTTTCTTACCATAAAAGCCGAGAATTCACACCCACACAAGCAGAGGTCGACGGACAAAGGGAAGAAGACAGCGCAGATCTGGAATTTCCAGCAAAGAGGGGGAATTTCTGGGTTTACTAGGTGTTCTAAGACAAGAAAATAGGGAGAAATCCCCGAGCTTTGCCGGATTTCCGGCCGGAAAAATGGGTGGCGGTGGCTGGGGGGTTCGTCGGCTGCAGAGGGTCGGGGGAGAGGAAGAGCAGGGCATGCGGGTCTGATGGGGAAGGAAAGGAAGAAGAAAAAGAAAGAAAAAAAAAAGAAAAGAAAAAGCAATTCATCCTTATCCTAATTTCCTTTCTTTTTAGTCCCTCAACTTTTAAAGATTTTACAATTAAGCCCCAAAACAATATTTTTCCTCAAATAAGTCCCCAACCAAATGCTAAAATACCCCAAAATTTTGGGATATTACAGGGTCACTCTAATCTTGTTGTTCTTTCAATTGCTAGTGGCCCGTGGAAGTTCCCCAATTTTTCCCGCCAGTTTCTCCCATACCTGCCAACTCCAGCTTTGCTTGCTCAACATTTCTGGTAAGTTGGCTTCTCTAATCTCCGAAAATTAATGGATTAATTGTTGCTTTGTGAGGTTAATTGGTTGAATGGGGGCTGGGTAGTCCGAAAATTTGCTAGGAATAGAGGGGTTAATTTCCGGTAGCCTTGCAATGAGTTTTGAGTCAATTTGTGTAGAAAATCCTTAATTTGGCTGTTGTATGTGTGCCCGAGAGAAAAAGAGGAAATTCCCGAGACTTGCCCATTTTTTTGTCAAGGCCGGTTCTCCCAAATTCTTGTCCATGAGTTTGAAAATTGTATTTGTGTAATCTTGTAATTGAATATACATAGATAAATACCCCATCCCAGTGAATGCCCAATTTTTGGATAGGAAATAAATAAAGAAATAAAATTTCCTTATAGATATTAATTTGGGAATATTGTGATTAGGTCCTTGATTGCCCCGTGATCCTAGCACTTGGATTAAGCCATTTGTCTGCGTGATTAAGGTAAGTAAATTATGGTAAAGCCCATAAATTTTTGAAGCATATTTTAATTGTTTTCTGAGATGGTGGCGAGGTTTAAATGGATTTATTTGCATTTGAGCATGATTAAAAAGGGAATTTGAACTTTTATTATTTTCCTTCTTTTCTAGAATTGAGTATGCCCACATGAGATTCTTCGGTTTATTTTTGAAAGTGAGAACGATTGTGAATTTCGGTTTTGTTTGTAAAGTTTTTTTGGTTTTGTCTCCAATATGGTCGTGTTAATTGTGTGCCCGCTAGCGGGAGGTTACAAACGCTAGCACATGTCGACATGTTCATGATAGAACCGGTTCACTCGTGGCCCTACTAGTGGGGATTATACACTAGTACTCGTGTGCCTGCCAGTGGGAGGTTTATAACACTGGCCATGACTTATGAGGAGACCACTACGTGATTTTATTTTGCATTGATGATTTGTTATTAAAACGCTCTATTCTTGAAACGCTCTGTTCATGTTTCAACCGATTATTTGGCATGCTTTAAACTTTGATGTCGGGCCCCCATGTTTACTTACTGAGATATTTCTATCTCATGGTTTCCTTGTCCACCATTTCAAGTAGTGAGACCCGACGCGTGGGAAGCCTGGGGGAGTGACGAGCTAGACGGCTAGGCACTTTTGGACTTAGGTTTTTGTAGCTAAGCCGTTAGTCACCCATGCTTGACATAGAAAATTTTGTGTACAGAATTTAGTGTTAGTCATGATTGTATATATGAAGTGATAAATTTTGTACATTCGACTGGTAACTATTTGGTAGATTAAAAAGGCTTAAATTTGAATTGCTAAGTAAGAACTCAGTAGGTCTCGAGCCTTGTGCATTTGTGGGCTCCGCTCACGAGTGCACGGCGTCTGCCACAACCCTGGATTTGGGTTCTAGGGCGTGACAGCGGTAGCGGGTAGCTGGTAGCAGGTAGCAGGTAGCAGTTAGCGGATGGTGGATAGCGGAAAGTGCGTAGCGGATGATAAATAGCGGATTCGATAAATATAACTGTTTGGTTATACAATGGTTAGCGATTGTTATTTAACATTAAATGACTAATAAGGATATGTTTAAAAACAAATAAGTATATTTTTTAAAAT